GTGGGGGGGGGGGGGGGGGGGGGGAGATTGTGGGCATATATATATATATAAAGACAGAGAGAAGAAGGACAATTGAATTTTCTATCTTTCTCTATCTAGAAATAGATGCTTATATGGCCCCCAAAAGAAAGAGAAAGAAGCAAAAAGAGAGATCTAGCAATGAGGTCTATACTACAGCCAACTGCTCTTTTGGCCTGCATTAGGCCGAACACACACCGATTGCCTGACATTTTTGTACAGAAATTGCTGCATAAATTATATGCGGAACATTCTCACACCCACGTCGCATCATTCGGCCCAATCCTGGAACAACGCTTTGACTTCGCGCTCGAAAATCGCCTCGTGCCTTCGCTTCCTGGTCAGATCCAATTTCCATCATATTGGGTGTGCTTGACTTAGCGGGTGGTTTTCGCAAAGTCATCAAGGCTTTCACAAAGCTTAGTTACTCTCTACACGAGAACCGGGTAATCGCTGGGTTCCCAATCTCCTCGTAGCTTGACGCTTCACTAGAGTAAGAACGAGAGGCTCCGGTCCCCCGTCGTGGAAAGGAAGAACAGCGGTACCTCTACAATATCGGCTCTAGTATAACCCCCTCCTGCGCAGTGTCATCGCCACCCAGGCCTCAGGCGTAGAGAATACGAAAAGTCGTCCCTGTCCCCAGAGTCTGAAATGGCATGTGTAGGACCAACAACACACGACGCTAATCAAATATATCACAGTCAATTATAGTGTCTTTGCCATTTCATATTGACCAAAATATCCCTCGGCCATGGTATCCCAAATCAATAGAGAGTTGTAGAAGATGAATCAGTACGTATCCACAATATATCTCTTACATTACCATTTTTCTTAGAACATGAGCATGGATTTTGGAAATTGTAACTTATCGTATTCAGTAAGGTATTTTGGGTGGCCATCTCGCTTGTCTAATACGTTGCAGGAAGTGCGTGTGAGGGGATGGCTTGGGACTACGATCTCGGGTTGCCAGAACCGGCCAAGCTGGGGTAAATAATCAGAGGTACACCTGTGGCCTCCACCTGATCGTGAGCTTGTCTATTTATCCAACCTCAAGCTCCAGCATTAGAGATGGATTATGAAGTCGCACAGCAGACAATTCCAGAAGAAGCCTCGAATGCGCCAGTGACATTTTTGGTGTGTTTTGAATGACGACTACTTCGAAGCTGCTACGTAGCTTGTAATAACGTTAAAAGACATATATAGAATATTCACAAGCTACTGTACTAATGGCCCCGGGATTCATTTGATATTAGTTAACCCAATTCCCGGAGGGTCAGGCCACACTGCACATAATATAACCAACTAGGTTAGAGCTTCGCTCTCCTCTTCCCTCCTTCCGTAGTGTTCCATCCAGACATATTCAACATACACCATTAAAGCGATGTAGGGAGTCAGATCCTATATGGCTATCCTAGACTTTATAGGACTTTTAAAGAAAAGAGAGCCTAAGGATTACGTATAACAATACCATGTTGACATCAAGGCCTATAGATAACACAGACATCAAGATCACCTGCACTCAAATTGTCTTCGGTGGGATGTCCTTGCCCAACGAAACGCAGCTGAAGGAGCTCGATGTCCTCACCCGATAATACGTCCGTCGTTTCCCGGTTCTCTTGCTTGGCCTCGCGAAGAATTTGCAAATCCTTCGCATTCAATGATATCTTGTAAGGTGCTTGGCTCATGTTTCGCCATGCCGTATGCGGTGACTCCTTGGAAATGCTCTCTTCGTCCACATAGATGTAGTCTTTGATATCGTAACCGTAGTATGTCGTGTGGCCCCGCAGGTAGTTATTGAAGCTTTCCTGCTCAAGCTGAATAGGATTCAGCGATTTTCCTGGACAGTAGATACTTGAGGATGTAACTTACCGATACGATGCGAAGCGTCAAATCACGCTTTCCCAGAATCCTATCTTCGTCGCCGCAGGCCGGAAACAGATACTCCTTGTCGAGTTGAATTTTGCCGCCAAAAGCGAGTTCGTGGACAATTATATTATCGCTCATTCCTTCGTAAACTCGTTGTTCCACGTAAATTTTGGGATCCATGTGGTCTTCATCGTCTTTCGTAATAAACGCTGTCAATCGAATGCACCGTTGACCATCATCTATTGCGCTGGAATCAAGTACTTTCGTCTCATCTGTAACCTAATTAGCTTAGAATCACGCCTATGGTCAGAATGTGATTATGTACCAAGGAAAGAAACCTTTCTGAACCGACATCCCGGGACTTTGTTACGCTCCGAATCTGTGTCCTGGCTACTACTGAAGATAGTCATGGGAGATTTCGGGTCCTGTCCGTGGGCCCTGACCATCTCATTCAGCGAGCCGCTACGCGTGGACTCGCCCCGAATACAGTCCTGGGCCTTTCTAGGCCGGTGCTGAGCTCTGTTCAAGGAATATGGTGTCGGGTTCCTCTTAGTTACGCGGTCTCTAGTCGCAGAAACCTTGCTGCGAAGCACCGGGTCGCCGTATTGGTCCAGTTCATAGACTGTCGCTGGTTGTGGTGGGATTTTCATTGTATTTCCTTCAAGTGCTGCTCATTTGCAGTGTTCTTGCAAGAGGTAACGGAGATTGCGGGTTAGAAAGGCAAAATATTTTCTAAAACGCCCCCTGTCTCAGCTCCCAGAAATCGTTGTACTTTCGTCGAGGCGACTACTGCAGCGCGACTACCTAGTCGAGGAGCGGGATGCTTTGTGGACCCTATTCGCAGACATGATAGGTGTCCACAGGTGAGACAAACCAATTACAATACTTGATTTATCCCAGGATGAAGATCCCGAGGCGCCACTGATAAGCCGGAATAAACAGCGCTTTCTCGCCGTGGGTAGTCCGGTGGATAGTGCCTTTCGGTCACATCAATTTCTTAACAGGCATTGCAAGTCACTATTGTTTGTGAAAATCGTCCAATATCTTCAATTGGTATGATTCAAAATAACTTACAAATCATTCTTGACCTGTATGTAAGGTCTCTGGGAAATTTTCGGCCGATCGCTTCTTCTCGATACCCGCCCAATAACTCTACGCGGTGTAGCGTCGACGCTAGCATTATACGAAATTGCGAACAAAGTTTAGTTGGGAACACTACCATCTTCCGATAAAACCACGCAATATCGTGGCCATCCGGTCGTTTCTTCCATTTACACCATATCGGATTGTTATTGTGAGTAGGATTCGGATGTGGCACTATGAGCCCAAATGATGGTGAGAGATTTATTTTCAGACACTAGATAATATACTTCGCATCTCAATTACATCCATTTTCCCACGCTTGTATGCTTGTATGCCTAATGAGGCAATTTTGCCGTTGATCCGGGTCACCGACCTCCATCATCCTCGTCGTCGCAGGCGCGACTTGTCAAGTCTTTGCAATCCCTCGAGCGCAATCTGCGCTGCCTTCGCTCGCGTAGCCTCGTTTCCCTTAGATCCCACCACTACGCACGAGATAAGGCTATCTTGCCCTTGGCCTGCTGCGCCGACCTGCGGGTCTGTCGCCTTGGGGCTCCAAATCTGCCTTGGGGCCCACACCCTGCATTGGACCTCGTCGACACTAGCTGTTCGCGCTCACAAAAATAACCTGGATCACACTACTCTACCCGTTTGGTTGTTCTAGGGAGGTTGAGGAAACGGACACAATTCTACTTACTTAGACAGTCGACAGCTTTGCTCCTTTCCCAATACAACTCTCTCCCTCTGCCCTTTGGTCCTACGTGGTGGTCCCAAGACTTAATACCTAGGTAGATATATTCTTAGTCTAATTATGATCTATATATCTAAACAGATTTCTGGTGATTTATCTATTATTTGCGCCTTGATTATCTATATAAATGAAATATGTAAAAATTCCCCTAAATATATATGATTTATATAAGCTACGAGGAGTAACAAGATTTCTATGTGGTCCTGTTTGAGGAACATCAGGTAGGTGCGGTTCTATTGAGGTTCGCGCTGAGGTCTAGTTGATAAGAATTTTTTTGCAAATGATTTGATACGTTACCGTGCATCATCCAGCCACTGCATGAAAAAAATAACCGAGACACCCTTGTCCCTCAG